TTAAACGCTGAACACTGATTTGTCACTATGTGCTTTACCTCATTTGAATTTCAATGTGCTTTCAAGGTGGGACAAAGAGCTGTAAAAGTCAACCCTTTTTACCCAGACCTCTGCCTGTGGTTCCTGGTGTGTACTTCTCCTTTGGGGGAGGGGAGTGTTTAAATCTCAGCAATCTCACAGGAGGTGCTGGTGAAGCCAATGCCAGCGATCACATTTGTACAGAAATGGTTGAGAACGACTACCCTCGTGCAGCACTGGGACCCCGAGGCTGGAACAGCTGGTAAAATACAAGGCCATGAAAGCCTGTGAACGCCAGGGGATGTGCGGGGGTTGTGATATCAGGGAGATATACTGACATGGTTTGAGGGCCCCAGACATTTCTACAGGCCGAGCAGGAGCGCCTGTGTGCTCAAGGTAGCCAGCTGTGGTCTTTAGCCAGGGCACAGGTCTGCCCAACGCCATTCCTCAGCAATGAAGTGTGCTTTGAGAATGCCCACAAAGAGTTAGATGTTTCTACAACCTAAGTGCCCAATGACAGATGAGTGGATTAAGAAGATGTGGTGTGTATCCACAATGGAATACTACTCGGCTATAAAAAAAGATGAACTCTTGCCATTTGCGGCAACATGGATGGAGCTCCAGGGGATGATACTAAGTGAATTGTCAGAAGGAGAAAGACAAATACCCGATGATTTCACTTGTATGTGGAATATAGAGAAACAAACCAAAGGAACAGACAAAGCTAAACTAAAACTTAGTCTGGAAGTCTGACTGCAGAATGAAGGCAGCTGGAGGAGGAGGGGAGAGAGGGATGGGAACAAAGGGAGAGGGAGCCCGGTGGCACCGCAGTGAGGGTGGTTGAGGCAGGAACATATCCCCTAAGTTACATACGGGGTTGTAAACCAGTGTGCCCTCAACAAATAAGAGAGAAAAAAATAATAATCGAAAATGTTCTTCAGTATGGAAAAAAAAAAAAAGATGAGCTGTTTCGAGCTGTATAAATTATGACCTGGGTGAAAGACACTTTCAGGGTCGACCTCAAGGGCACAGGACCCTTCTAACAGGCAAAGAAAACACCACTGCCTTGTGATCGAGTCATTGAGTCAGCCAGCTTTAAAGAGCTGTATTGCTTTCTTTGGAGATCATCAATATGTCACAATGTATATTAACAGCTAAACAATACAGACACAGTGGAAATAGTCAAATTTTCATCTCTCTCTTTTTGTTTTCTGTTAATAGAAAAGGAATATTTGAAAAACTAAGTGATATTAGTCAACTGAGGGACTTACTCTCTAGAACTTTAAAATGGAAATCTTGGGAGAAATACGAAGACACTAGAGGCCATGTTCCAAAGGGAAGCTTTAGATCGTGGTGTGAAATTTTCAAAGAAATTGCCACAGGCCATGCACAGAACTCTTGAAATCCTCATTCACATCAGATCAGACTTAGATAAGACTACACTATTAGAATAAATAGACCCCGAAATCCTAGGGGATTGAGACGGAGTCATCTTGCTAGCTAAGGTGACTCTCCAGGACTGCTCCCTTTCAAAGTCTTATTCTGGGGTCCAGATTGTTTCTCTCTCGTGGTTCTACCATCTCAACACAAGTCCTCCATGGTGCCATGGCAAAGACAGGGATTGCATGCAACTAACATCTGCTCCTCCAAGGTCCAGCCTGGAAGTGACCGCTCCCAGTCTACTGGCCAGAAATAACGTTTCTTTTTACTTTCTTTATTGATTTTACCATCGGTTTACAAAATTTTCTAAGTTTCTGGAGTAGAGTTTCAAACCTTGATAAATGTATATTCCATACACTGTACCCAACACCAAAGATCTAGTCCATTCACTGCTATAAAGCTGGCCCCCTTAACCTCGGGATTCCTCTCGATCCTGTCCCCTTCTTCTCTGGGGACCACCACTTTGTTGTGAGAGCCTAACAGTAATTTTTGTTGAGCTTTGTTAGTTGCCCTATATTCCACAAGTGAAACCACTTGATAATTTCCTTTCACTTTCACACTTAATCCTCTTACCCAAACATCTCAAGTGCCATCTATGGTGCTGCAAAAGGCAAGATTTCTTTCTTTACATAGCTGAAGATTATTTATTGAGTGTAGATGCTGATAGCACCTCTCTGTCAATGCACATACAGGTTAATTCTGTGTTTGGCTCTGTGAACAGGGTTGCAAAAACAGAGGGGTCATATGTTTTGAAGCTAACATTTTCATATTCTTTGAATAAATACTGAGAAGAGGAATTGTTGGATCATATGGTAGTTTACTTCTTAATATTTTTGAGGAATCTCTGGACTGTTTTCCACAGCAATTACACCAATTTACATTTTATAGTGACTAATAAGTGGCACTCAACAAATGGTACAACTTATCATTTTAGTATCGGAAAATAACATTTTGAATGGCTGGATAAGCATTCATTCTATGTAACGGGATAAAATTATAATAATTTATAATTATAATAGTTATTAGCCTACTATAGAGCATTTGCATTGTCCCTCTTTTTCTTACAAATAGTATATGTAGAAAAGCTTAATATACCTTAAGGTAAATCTTTGATTTCATATTTGATTATATCTTAATAGAATAACAGGGTTAAAGGATTTGGAAATTTTAAAACTCTTGATACGTATTCCTAACTTGTGCGTTAGAAATGTCGGGCTAATGTGTTCTATCACCAGCAATGTAAAAGACATGCTTAACTGCACAAGCATTAAAGCTGTATTCACCAACTCTGATTCTTGCACGTTTGAATCTGGCACATCTGAACCTCTCTCCACACGCTGGCCCATATTACTGTAATTATCAGAGTACTGACCGGCTTCTTCCATTAAAATGTAAGGCTCTGGATCAAGGGACAATCAATATCTTTTCTCAACATGTATTCCCAGCACTCAGCCCCGTGCCTTGCACATAATGGAACACAATAAACATTTGTTATAAAATCACAATGAAAAGTGGCAAATCTTTAGTGCTTTAGCGTTTTGTGCTTTTCTAATGCCGGTATTGGCTGGGTTGGATTTTGAGTTTTTTATTTTTCATGTTTATTGGGCTTGGATCCCAGCCCCTCTCTCTCGGCAGGGGGGAGATGGCTGTTTCCCCAAATCTTAAGTGCCTGCGTGGCAAGTCTTGCTATCAGCGTGCCACACCATTCAGCTGCAAGCTCACCGCAGAGACCTCAGGCCTGTCCCTGACCCCTGCTCCCAGACACCGACTCCAGGGGGAGGAGCCAAGCCTACACCAGCCTGGACCGCTCAGCTGGAAGGACAGACCCTGCCGCATGGCACTGTGAATCTGTGCCCGTCACACGCAGCGTGTCCCCCAACCTCGGCTTCCAGTGATAGGGCCATGGGACAGCTCCTGCTGCTCTGGTCTCTGCACGCTCTCCCAGACCCACCCTGCTCCCGCAGGCCTGGGGCTGCCCACCAAACACCGCAGTAGCAGACAGCTGTCCAGCAAGCTGGGCGTCTATCCAGGACCCTGTCATGCCCTCCCGGAAGCCAGCCAGGGGAAAACAGACCAATACTGGCCATGTGGATGGTCTTCAGTTAGTGACTGTTAGCAGAAGCCTGCCTTGACAGTAGCAGGCTATCTCAGGGATCCAGACCCTCCTCGATCCCCCTCTGCGATCGAGTCCCTTGCTTGTTTCTTTGTTTCCGTTACTGAAAGTAGCTGACAAGATGGAGGGGCTCTGGCACTGAGAGGAACGCTGGGCCACGCCCAGAAAATTCACAAACAAGGGAGAAGACGAGCGAGGATGTCTTCCCCAGGATCACCAAAAACGGGTAGAGCAGCAACCAGGGGCGTCTCCAGTCGGACCCCCAGCAAAGATCCTGACCTCCTGCAAGGCTCCCATGGAAACCTGCTAGTCTGAGCACCAAGTTCACTAATTTGGTCAAGAGCAAGGGCTGGACCCAGATCCCACATCAAAGGGAGGTGAGAAAGGTGAGATCCCGCAAAGGCGCTAGTGATTCCCACCAAAGTCAACCACCCTGTCCACCCCACCCCGACCGAGCTGCACCTGCAACCCCTGGACTGCATTTCGCCTACATGCCAGGGCGGGGGCCGGTGCTACCCCCAACCGACAATGCTGATGCCGGACTGGGCACCTGGGTGCAGTCCAGTTACAGCCCACTGGCCGGGCGTGAGCGGAGCCTCCCGGCAGCTCCCTGCACCGTCAATCACCGCTCTAGGGGATTTGCTTGCTCAGGGGCAGGAGTTTCATTCCACAGGTGAAGCCTCTTCAGAATGTACTTGGGGCGGAGGGGGGGGAGGGGTCGCCACCCACAAGCGCCTGCATTCAGAGTTGGCACCTGGACTCCAGGGCGGCCACGGTCAGGCCGGGCCTCTCTGCCATGGACTTTGTGTCCAGGACCAACTACAGCCCCGTCTCACTTCAGGGGTTGCTGGCTTTGGCTTGCGGCCGGTGGGCTGAGAATAACAGGGAGAGGCAAGCCTGTGTCTTCACCCACCTCGCCATAATTTTGATTGAAGTTAATTTAAATTCACTACATTTAATGATTGAATTGTATTTGCGATCCTTACCGAACCACCATACAAAATGTGTTTCCAGTGATCTTATGTTGGTGTTTCACACTTTGGCCCGAGTCAACATAACAATATTGCGTATGAAATTGTATTTCAAGGAAGATGTCCTTCAGAAGCCATGACAAAGACATAATGGGGAGGGGGTTGGGGTGTCTAAGTTACAGAGATTTAAAAAAAAAAAATTATGGACGGGTGCTAAGATAATGACCGCGTGCCTTCCCGTCCCCCAGACATTTCCATACATGGGGAATCAAGAAAAATGCACACGGAGAGCTGGAGGGGGGACCCCAAAGGGAACTGGGCTGCAGAGGCTGCAGGGGGGTCTGTCAGCCACAGCCTCTGCTTAGACAGAAGTGTCGGGTCTTTCTCTAGAGCTTGCTTACCTTGCTGGCCCCCTGATTCCGGCCCCCCTACAGCGCCCGGGGCCGGCGGACACTCACCTTCCTCCTCGTGAAGCAGCCCCATGTGCGCATGCGCCTCAGCTTCTCTGCGGCCACCGTCAATTTTGATGAGTTTCGCCACCTTAAAGCACCGTTCATAGAAGTGGTTCCTTACCCACTTGTCTTCGGAGTTATTGAAGTAACAGGCCAGAGCATACAAGTTCGTGTAGACATCGTGGAAGTATTCTTCGGGTAAAGGAAAACATCATAAACTGAGTTAGAAAAATGGGGCTGATCCCTTCCAATGGCGAACAAGTGTGTTTATTCTGCTTTTCCCCCGTAAAAGCAGAATTAACTATTAACACCTCTAAATGCAAACATTAATGTAGTTTAACTATTAAAACTGCTGCATTAATTAAAGTATAGATACAGGAGGAAAAAATCTTTCTGAAAATTCAGAACAGGGTAGAAACTAACATACTATAGAACTTAAATACATTAGACAAAAGAAGATAATAACACTAGCAATAGAATGAGTATGGGGGCATCAAGTAGGTTTTCCTTAAAAGATTTGAAAAGTATTTAAATTCTAGGAAAGCAATGGCAAAAAGAGGATGTAAGTGAAATAGGTAAAGAATGAAAATAACTAAGTTTTGCGGGTTTTGTTGTTGTTGTTATGAGGCTTGTAGATATAATAGAGAAAAAGAGTTATTTATTGAAAAAAAATCATTTCAGAACTGATATCTACTATACTTTGTGTTTCTACCCCAAACCTCCTTCTTAATGTAAACAGAACACTAACATCATTTTAACTTCTTTGTCATATTTACTGATTATAGATTCACTATTTTTAAGCCTTTAAAAGTAAGATATTTCCTATTTTATTTTAAAGATGTGTTATAGAGCATTAAAAAAAAATAGTGATCCTGAAATAAGTTTTCTCTTTTTCAGTAGTTAAAATGTAATTTTAAAAATTCCCAACATTGCATAAACAAAGTTTAATTTGGGTAGTTTTTTTCAGAATGAGTTATACAGGTTTTACCTCCACTATCCTACAGGAGAGCATTCCCAGGAAACATCTGCGAAGCCAAAATGGCATAAATCAAAGAAAAAAATCATCATTTAATGTTTATGGAAAAATAGTTGCGGGTTCTCAGACCTCAGAAATAACCTACGAGTCATGACAAAAACCTAAGGTCACACTAACGTACAGTAGAAACCAGAATGTATGACCAAGACACAGTTATACAAAGTAGTTCTCAGGGAGCAGCTTGCTGGTGCCACAGTCGCTGCCGAGATACATCCCAACCAATGCTGAATACGACTTTGTCATTTTTTGTCTTTTGCCGTAAAAATCCTCCTCAGGTTTTTTTCCAGTCATCAAAAAAAAAAAAAAAGGCTTTTGTAAAAGTGAAGTAGCCTAACTCCTACTTTCAAAAAGTGGGGCATACTTATATTTATATAAACTATTAAGATTCCATATTTAAAGAATAGTCATGAGCTAAGCTATGTATCCTATGGAAAACAGAATGCATTCAAAATATCAAACATAAAGGAATATAATTCAGGAAAATTTAATATATATCCTGCCGCCTTAATATTCTAAACAAACTTTTCTCCTTATTTGTAAATTACTTCCTTGCATTGTCAGTAGGTATATTTAGAACATGAAAATCAATTGTATTGTTGTTTATTACTTAGTTCAATATGCACTAAACTACCTAAAACAAAGATTCCATGGTGAAATTAATTTGGGAAATGTTCTTGCTAATTGTCTTCTTTCGCTGAACAGAGGAGACATCGGCACATTAAAAGCACTGATAAGTCCCACAACAGACTAAGCTGCTCAATGCCAATGTTAATTCACGTGGTGTATCTCAAGCTTATTTCACCAATTATTTTTGTTTTGTTCTGTATATAACCTACCAACCCTGTGAACTCTGAGTACAACATACTTTGGCTTTCTTAAACAAAAAGAAAAAGAAATTTATGTTGACAGTAATTTACTGTTGACAGTAATTTAAAGTCAAGTGTAAGTGTTTGAATAGTCTACTATGATTTGGTTACCCATGATCCTTATTGGCATCTCTTTCCCAGCCTCATGGTACACAACACGCTTATCATAATGTTACAGATATCTTATAAACGGATAATATAAACAGTGATGTCAGTGATACTTTATAAATACAACCTTATTTTCCATGAACATATGGAATTCACTTAGTAAAGGAAATATGTCGTCTAATTCTATTATTCTATCAGACTTTGGCATTATAAAGTTTGGAATTTATTCATGTTTGGAATTAGACAAATATTTTAATTTATATGATAGCTACTTTAATGTAACATTATAAATTAAAATGTTTTCTTCCTTAAAATAGATTATTTAGCATTTCAGTTTCTTTATAATTACAAAATGCTTTATGACAAGTTTCTCAAATTTATGACACTCTATGACAGTGATGTATTTGGCTCATATTTATGCTGCTCAACTGGAAGACTTTCAAACACTTAGTGAATAAAATGAAGTCAGCTTGAAAAAAAAATGACTAATGGGCAAATTTTATCCTCATCAATTCTATCTTCAGTGTAAAAATCATCCCAGAATTTGGGTCTGATACTAGAATGTAGGTATTTTACAACAGCATTTTTTGTTTATAACAATTTCTTCAGAAATTATATGCAAATCACATTATAAAATTCACCAAAGGACCCTATCAGTGAAGTCAATTAGGCAGTTAAACACTCTTCTTCTAATACAAACGTGACCTCCTGTCCTTACACACACAGAGTAACTGAATGGCTAAGATTTTTCTGCATCTCATCCTCCCAAGTCAAATTACAGTCTGGTGGCAAATATGTTCTGACTCCACGAAGGAAATTTAGAGACCTTCTGCTGCCAGTCTCACCAGTTTGCAAGTCCCCATGAACCTTCTCCACTGTAGCATTAGGTAGTGAACAGTCATCTAAAACTCATTTTCCCACAGAAAGACCTGCATTGAAAACGAGAGGTTGTCATATTGGAGCTTGAGCTTCTCTTTTGAGTCCTGTGATATTTTTCATCCAAAAAGCCAAAGAAAAGAATAATTCAGAATATCAAATTTATATCCTGATACCTAGCATTTCCTTTCTTTCCTCGATTATACAAAATAACCGTCTTCCAATGCTATTTGTAAACGCTAGAAAATCAGCACAGTTCCAAGTTACAGTACTCCTGGAAAGACTCTCCTGAATGAAAGTCAATATTCAGGTTCTGTTCCTATACATACCATGCAAGGATTGAATTAATAATTCATGATATTAGAGATGCTAGCACATTGGAAAGTTCTGGAGACAGCGCTAGCAGTTATGCACTGTGCTTCCTGGCTTTGATGACATCACCAGGCCCCCCCTGTGTCCGGGAGCTTCATGACTCACATCCCCCATCAGCTACTCCACAAAGACGTTTGGTTGTCTTCCTGTTTAACACACAAAGCCACGCAGTTTCCCCTCAGGCCCTGGCTCTGCTGGCGCTATGGGGCCCCTGCCCAGCAACCTCACTCACCATTCCTCTCTGCAGTCTCGGCCCTGGTCAGGTGGTGGTATAGGTGGTCCAGTTTATCTGGCTGCTCCTCCAGGGGTCTCTGCAGCCAGAAGACGGACCTAACTTTGGCCGCCTCCCTCAGGTCATCCCACTTCGCCATCAGTGCGAAGAGCTCCGTGAAGGACTTGTGATAACCATCTCGGAGCATGTCCACACAGATGTTCTTCTTGTATGAGTTCCGGTACCTGGAATGAGGATAGGAATTAGCACCCCAAAATGTTACTTAATCCTTAAAATCCGTACAGTGTTTTTATCCTCCCATGACGAAACCACACCGCCCTTCCCCCTCAGTGAAAGCACCAACAATCACTCATAATTGAACAACTTCAGCTTAATGAAAGATGCCAGGAGCTATCTAAACACAGTAATTTTAATCAAACTACATTATAAATATATTAGTTGCAGAGCTGAGCTCCCTTTGATAAGAATATATAAGCGAGTTGGCTGATGTCTTAAGTCTGTTCATGCAGTACTACAAAATATTACCAACTGAGTGGCTTATAGACAATAGAACTGTAAGGTTTGCAGTTCTGGAGGCTGGGAATTTGAGAGCAAGACATAAGCATGACCAGTTTTTAGCCAGGGTCCTCTTCCTGACTCACAGCTGGCACCTCGGGTGGTGGGAGGGCCGAGGGGGGTCCCTCTGGAATTTTCTCTGTACAGTAGTAATCTTACCTCATGACCTGACCCTCTCCCCAACATCTCACCTACAAATACAGCACCACTAGGTGTTAGGATTTCAACATCTATGGAGGACACAAACATTTGGACAGAGCAATTCAAAGTATCCAAAATATTTGATGAACTAGCTTTCCACCAAAACACAAGTTCAAGCAAAATTTAAATGGTATTTAAATGATATTTACAATATCATTCAATATTAAAAATGCACACTATTAAGTATTTTCACTGTATATATGGACATTCATTCATTTACTCATTTGTTCTTCAGATAATGTGTAATGAAATCTATTAAATATATTTTAAAATAATTTTCAGTTAGGATTAAGCTAATGGTTAGTTAGCTGAACAATTCATTTCCAACTTAATAGTAACTCATGTAACAAAGGAATACTCCATTTACTTAGTCAGTGACTACTGAGTTTCCTGCTAAGTGTCAGGTACTGTTCTAGGCCATGTTCTAGTTTCAATGCCCTTGTAAAGTTTATGTTCTTGTGGCAGAACACAACTAACAAGCAGGTAAACAAATACTTTTGGATCATGAAAATGCTCTCAGGAAATAAACAGTTGGCTCACTAAATGACAATTGCCCACTATCAGAGGTCAACAGAACTTTCTGGTCATTATTTTAAACTTTGTTTTCTTTAACTAGGAGACAGACAGAACAACTGACATGATGTAACACTAATAGCAATAAAAACTTCAGAGGGGTTGGAGACAGCTTACGATGAGTTAGAACACCCAGTTTCAAGCCCTGTTCTATCTAATCTTTTTCCTTCTTATTTGTAAAACGTGTACATGAATATATACCTGACTTATATCACAGGATTCTTCTAAAAACCAAACAAAATTAGGTATGCCAAATGTGAAGTCTTGCACTATTGATTCTCAGCTCCTGACTAGGAAGAGATTCACCCATAGAGATTTTAAAAACATGGGAGCCAAAATGCCGAGTCCCACCTGCTGAGAATTTCCTTTCAGTTAGATCAAGTCAGGCACAAGACAATACCTATAAAGAGCAGTGCGTGGGGACTGGTGAGAGAGAAGTTTAAAAAACAACAAGGCAGGATGCCCCAGATCACACGGCCTCAAAGTAACAGTGTGGGGCTTGGACTCCAAGTCAGAAGAAAGGCAAGGTCTGAGTCAGGAGAATGGTGAGACTGCATTCTGGAAAAATCTGGGGGAATCCCAATTCACCCCCCTCCCTACTGGCAGGCAGATGAAGGTGGCCAGTGATAGGTCCAGTCCCTCAGAGGAAATCACCTGTCTAGGGCAAAAGGCCAGAAGCTGCCATTTCATGTGAGACCCTAAAATTTGAAAGGGGAAGAGAGAAAACAGTAGCAGGTTTTGTTTGTCCCTGTCCCCCAGATGAGCAGAGGGGTATGGAGCAGGAGGCAGTGAAGAGCACGTCTTCCCTGGAAACTCCTTTACACAAAGTCGAGGTAGCAGAAGTCACCGTAGGGGATTTCGTAGCAGGAGAGGCCCGGAGTCGGCCCCACAGTTCCCCATGAGCCCTGAACGGTATGGGTCATGGGGAACTGTGGCTTAATAGTTTGGTCAGTTCCGTGTAGGACACAAAACGGAAAGAGATGGCTGGTAAACCTGCCATAATGTCATCAGGCCACAGCAAGGGGGTATTGTCAGGGCTTCCCACTGGGGACAGGCAGGCACAGCTGTCACTCTGAGCATCAGCGCCTCTGGAGGGGAGGGAGGTGGCTGCTGAAGAAGACGGGTCAGCATATTTCCAAAGCTGACAGCAAAGGCTGCTGGGAATGCATCCAACTGCAAGTAAGACAGAGGAGCCAGAAGCCTACCACAGGCAGTGGCTGGCCTTTGCTCGGTGACCTGGAAATTCAAGGCCCATGCCCCTGGGATCATCTCCTCTTTCCCACAGGCTTGTCCCCTGCTGGGGTCAAGGGCTGCTGCAGCTCCAGACAGCGTGCTCACTGTCAAGGCAAGAAGAAAGAGGTGAGGGGGTGACACCCACTGTGTCTGTCTCCAGGACAGGGGAAAACAAAAGCATCCTTGCACCTAGGAGTGGATCTGCGCCTTGGTCCCACTGGCCAGAACTGGATGGCAGTGCTCGCTCCTTCAAGAAGACTGGCAAGACACATACCCTGCTGCTCGTGGGCAACTCCCGCCCCAAGCAAAGCTGGAGCCACGGTAGACAAGAAGAACGGATGCTGGACAGGCAAATGCTGGTTCATCATAAGGTCCTAGATCAAGATCTGAAAGGAAATACGGACAGCCCCCAAGGCTGGAGGGGCCACAGTGGGGTCAGGATAAACTGGGCACAGTGCCCGTTAAATCTGAGCATCAGACAAACAGCACATGCTATCTTCAGATTAGTATATCCCAGATACTGCAGGGGACACGTTTTCGAAAGCTCCTTGAAACCCAAATGGCCGGGTACGTTCTGTAGTTTTATTCTCTAACTCTAGCAACCCCACCCCTCTAGCCCTGCACCAGAGCTGGAGACTAGGGTGAGGGGGAGAGAGGTTTGAATCTTGAATAGCCTGAGACATCACTGAATTGGACTGACTTTACCTGCAGGGACAAGATTGGATTTTTACACGAGAGAGGATCAAGGCTCAGGGCCAGGAATTAAAATGAAGTTATGAAAAAATAAAGACTTTCAATTTTGCTCAATCCTTCAGCTTGTGTCTCTGAGATTCACATCTGGTCCAAGAGTATAGCTGGGAGGAGAGGGATACTGAAGGCGGGAGGAGAGGTGCACACGGGGAAGGTGAGGCCAGGGTCCCGGGGCTGAAGGAGAGATGGGGTGAGGGTAGGGGGACTCGATATATATTTAGGAGCCACATGAATGGACAGCTCATGTGGACAGCTCAGGCTGCGTGGATGTTGCCGTGAAGGCAAGCTGACCAGATTCGGGACATACGGTGAGTCTGGCTTCAGGTAACTTGAGTTCATGGCGCCTGAAGGGACACCCCAGAGGGCAGTTTTGGGGGGCAGTGTAGGACGCATGCCAGGACAAGGGGCTGGAAATCCAGCCTCGGTTCAATTAAGGGCTGCTCCCCTTGCAAGCCTGCACTGTGGCAGCTGATGCTTTCCTGTGGGTGAAGGCAGCACTCTGTTGCCAACTAAAGGAAACGACTTAAGTACTAAAAGTGAGAGAACTGAGTTTAAACAATGAAGTCAGGAGGCGCCCTCAGCCCTAATCCCCGTGGGGACACACAATTACACTCCCTTCCCGCCCCCCCCCCATCTTCTTTCCCTCACTCGGCAGAGGAGGGCACGCTGGAGGGCCAGTCCTCCAGGAACCCCCAGAGGGAGCAGCTCCCTGAGAAACTGCTGGAAATGGCGGTGGACCGACTGTCTGTGGGGTCTTCATTTCAAAGACTCCTTAGCCAAGTGATGATGAGTGATCCAAATTAAGGGCTTCGCTCCCAGAGTCTGAATCCAGGAAACAAGGAAGTTGTCATAGGTCCGTCAAACTAGCTGGGGCAGCCTGACTCTCTCTCCAGGAGCTTTTTGTATCCTTGATGCTTCCAGGGAGCTCAGGTCTTGTCTTCTTCATCTGAGCTGGGTCCCCCCCACCACCACCGACCCCCAGATTCAGCTAATTGCCTAGTTCCTCTCAATAACACTGTCCCCTCTAGCTGGAATCAGTGCCTGCTGCCTGAGATTCAAAAACACAAACTCATTCAGAAGGGACAGGACTAAAATTCTTTCCAAGACATCTTTCAGCCTCAAAACATCCATGATAGATAACCAGCATCAATTTTTAAAACCTCTAGTACATTTTTTAAAAAGGCCAGTCTTTGCCGAAGAGATTTCAAATAGAAATGTATTAAAAAATACATCTCTAACGTTGCGGATACCCTATTTCACACGAGCGAGCTGTGCCCGGCAGGGCAGGGCAGGGCCCCACCCAGGCCGCCTTCCGCCACCAAGCGGGTTCTTGGCTCAGCAGTTCGTGCAGGTGATTCTGTACACCAGAATCCTCTCCATCAGCTAAAATGTCCTGTCTGTCCAAAAATTAAAATAAATCCCACATCCGCCATTCCCTCTGGATTTGTCAGATTTCACGTTTCGGTAACACAGCCAAAGTCCTCCGAGTGTGGGGAAAGGCATTTTTTAAAAAAAATATGAACAAGAGGAGGAACGTCATTCACAGTCGTTATTGCGTTTGGACATCAAATGATTGGTCTTTGGTTTCATTTCCATCTTAAAACAAATATTAGCCTCCGTTAAAGCATGTTCTTTTCAAGTAGATCATGGAAACTGCCGACCTGAAGTCAGGCTACTGGCGGGGAGCACAGTTCTGGTCAAACTGATGTAGAGATTTGATACTGCGGAGTTTGAGGCGCTCTCCTGGCACGAAGCCAGCTGTCAGGGAGGCGCAGGGGACGTGGGTATGGTCCTCCCGCCACTCTGGAGCATCTACAGCCTAAGGAAGGTGTTTGCCGCGTTGGCGCTTGAGGCTGCACCCGGCTTAGGGGTGCAGCTGGAGAAAGACGGATTTATCCACCTGCAGCTATGC